AGACAATTAAGTTACATTATGTAAAACCTAATAGACAAGCTATGCCATCCAAAGTTGAATGACAAACTACAGTAAAAAAGTTGAATGACAAGATACATCATCAAAATAGAATGAGAGGCTACACCATTATAAGTTGAATGACAAGCTGTACCATTATAAGCTACATCACAAGTTACATCTAAGAAAAAGTTTCCCATGTCGACCCTACAGAGAAAGTTGAGAACAACAGAGCAATAGGAGGCGACGCAACGATTGATGTATTACGGGGTTAATTTGTAAAAATGAATAATAATAATAATTAATGTATTTACAGATTAACACTTGTTAAATGTATTAATTATTAGTGAACTTACAGCAATGCTTATAAATAACATTAATGACCAATGTATTTGGGAGGAACACTTATAAAAAGCCTCAGTGTGTTCGTGCAAGGCTTCAACCGGAGTGATTGATACTTAATATTACATATTTACAAGCTCCATTAAATTATTATCGCATTATAGAAGAATGTATACCATCCATTAATACCGAGTTTACGTACCATCAACATTTACAAGCTCATGTGATAGCTTAAGTTACGGTATGAGTTTCAGAATAGGAGACGTCCTGACTACATTGGAAGATAATAAAGACATTTTTGATTGCAATGCTCTCTAATACTCGTTCACATTGAACGCACGAATACGAAAGATTTAGGAATTTTTGCATCACAAGGAATACGTCGCTGTGAGCAGAACACAGGAGCTGGTGAGCAGAACACAGGAGCTGGTGAGCAGNAGAGACAGGAACACAGGAGCTGGAGAGCAGAACACAGGAGCTGGTGAGCAGAACACAGGAGCTGGTGAGCAGAACACAGGAGCTGGTGAGCAGAACACAGGAGAGCTGGTGAGCAGCACACAGGAGCTGGTGAGCAGCACACAGGAGCTGGTGAGCAGAACACAGGCGCTGGTGAGCAGAACACAGGAGCTGGTGATCAAATCTCCCACGAGAGCAGCATGGCAGGATTGAGCCGTCATGCGAACTGGAGCCATTAACTCCTGACCCTCGCGTGGAATGATCGTGACAATAACGAGGCTTTGGTAGGAGCTGTTCCGAGTCATTGAACTGCACAGCCTACACAATGCGCGCCACATACGCTCGCTAGCCTCATCCTTATGCCAGCANGTAGCTGGGGGCACTAGTTATGAGGCTAGCCTCCTACACCACATAGTTGGACCGTGGTTATGAGGCTAAAGCTAGCCTCCAACGCCACGAGGCTGAGGCACTAGTTATGAGGCTAGTATAACACCAGATTGACGTAACCCTGGGAAAAAATTGCATTAGCCTCAAGTGAGGTAGTCACAAGTGAGCGTAGACGAGTCATCCCCTGCGTAGAAGAGAACGTTCAACACTGAATATACGAGCCTTGCGATCCAGATATATCATAAGATGTCACGTCAACAAATGCGCTATATACATGTTATTAGATTGAAACCAAGGCGCGTATTAAGCCTTGTAATTAGATGTGCAACCAATTCAGCGTCGTGCGTAAACATTCAGCATGAATAATTAACTGCAAGTTGTGTTGATGCAATAGGGCACCTCTTTAATTGTACCAGATTTTGCAATACACATTACTATCGTCAACGGTTACATAAGGCAGAGATCATGAAAACAATTAAACATTACTGGTGAGATGTGACCTTTTCAATCAGTTTTGTCTACGGGTAAAACTGCTGGAAAATAACAGATAAAACATGCCCTGTAAAACTGCTGAAAATTAGCAGGACAGGAAGTATGCGCAGTTTAATCGCGTCTGCAGTTCACACAGCGGGAATTTTCTTTAAAATTAGCGTTCCTTCATTGGACAGTTTCCCAACCACGACTGCAGTACAAATCTGTTAATTTGAACCCACAAGTTTTTAGTTGAAAAAACTTTTTACGCCACACAACTACTCACGCAACAAAATTTCTCACGCATGTTAGGACTTTGTTACACAAAGGCCAAATGCAAAAAACTGAATCAATAAGGGGTGATTCTAAACGAATCTGAATAGTAGGCAAAATCATTTGAAAATGAGTGATATTCATTGGCAGAACTGGCACGACATTGCAATGCAAGCAGAATTAATCAAAAATAATCAAATGAATCTTTGCGTTATCAGCGCTTATTGATGCAGCTCTAGAGTAGCATTATGCAGCTCCTGAGCTCTACAGTAGGATAGTGTAGCTCTAGAGTAGGATAGTGCAGCTTTACAGTAGGATAGTGTAGCTCTAGAGTAGGATAGTGCAGCTACTACATACGCTAGGTGATATTCACGTTGATGGCGAGCACCACTATACGAAACTTTATATCAAAATTTCTCTCAGTGATTGCAAGGAATGGTTTTAGCTCTTAAATTTAGATTGTCTAACAAAGCCAAATGTTTTCTAGAAAGTTAGGTGAGCGACGGCATGCCATGTCAGCGCTATCAGTGGACACACGAATAATATGGATAATAAGTGGACGGAATAATAATATTACAATAATTGTCTTATATGAGGCAGCCACTGCTGTCTCACACATCTTTCCTCATGAACAGTTATACTACAGTTGTTGTCAATACCTTTAGAAAAGACAGCTCAGTAAACAGCGATGCATCCAACACAAGCGTCTGGTCCACAGTGCCCACAACAAACTAACGTAGGCAGAATTTAGCAAAGTTTAAAGATATTCGCTTAGCAAGTTGTTGAGGTAAGATCAGTGTTCATAAGAGGGTAAATGGTGTATAAATGCTTGATTGCATTAAACATGAAGAGTTTATTGCAATCAACGACCTTGAATTCAGAGCGTCAACGCGACCGTGATTGTGAGCAATTTAAATTCAACCTAGGAAACCTCACAACAAGCGCGAAGTCGCTTAGTCAGCGAAAATGTATAGTAGTGTACATTGTACACAGACTTTTGAAAACATATTGGCCTTGACACACAAGACAGACTCTGCTGTGTTAGCGGTGTGCTTGTGCACGAAACACGGAAGACGTTAAAATTTTCACTACCTGCTCTAAAATGTTCGTAATAAAAAGCACATAATTGTTATGTATACGTTCGGACAAGCCCTCTCTCTGTGCGCCTTGCAGAGAGGCCACGCCGCAAGCGGTGGCGTAGGAATACTACAATGCAGCAGTGAATATATATATTAAGTTGTATAGTACATTATTATTAGGTAGTATGCATAAGTATATTGATGAATCATTATAAAGTACAAGAATCAGCAACAGGCCTAACCAGGCCTATAGTTCAATGATACTATAATATTTATACTACTAGATACTAGATACTATAATATACTATACTTTACTATAGTATAATTTACTATATTATCATTTTACTAAACTATTAGGTGCCTCAGAAACGAGCCACGCGACCGCTTCATACAATTACTTGTCTCATTGTTGTGTTAACAAAATTCTCAGCTCGCACCGATCAAGCCTTATTCATATCAGTGGTGCAGAGTACAAAGTAAAACAGGTCTACTTTGCAAGTGTTAGCATGCAGGCTGTAAGCTTATAAGAGAACCATGTATCATGACAGAGTATGCAGAGCGTCTGTAGTGTCCACGACTACATCGCATTACAATTTCGACGGGCTTCGACATCGCTACCAAACAATAATTATAGAGTAGTTGTGTGTAAAAAAATACTGTCCCAATCGCCGCAACGACTCTCCATCGCATGACAAAGAGAGCTAAGAAAAACGGGGATAGTTCACTCATTTCTTTTCAGATCTCTTTATTATTATTCACTACATTATTAGATCTTTCCAGCGTACTTTAACATTCTATGATTGCAGGCTTGATAGCAAAACTCTTACGACGATGTTAAGTCCGAATCTTCTAATGAAAGTTTCTTTACTTTATGTGGTCGACATGAATACATGCAAAATGACCCGTGCATGGGGAGGAGACGTGGCAGTAACATTTGGGGCCAGGGCCCGAGGACAGCAAGCGGGGCGCCGCCGCCCCATGCACGCGGCGGCAGCAGCGGCGTGAGTAACCGTGTTGAGGGTACGCGTGATGACTCATCCACCTCATCCATACGCATGGAATATCCACTCATGCTCACGCTCGCGTCATCCATGCACGCAACAGGCAGGTAAACAATGTGTTTCCTGTTTGCAAAACGAAATAATGTTTTCGCTGCACGGCTTCTGCGTAGGGAGAGCGCAGGAAGGAGCAAGATGGCAAACTCTGCCATCAAAATTGAAGGCCAAGTCACAAAATTCCTCGAGTTTTTGTGCGCCCATAATTGCATATTCACGGCTGTGATATTACAGACTGGCAGTAATATTCGTAAATACCCCTGCCGCTCGAAACGGCGGCATCAGGTAATAATAATAATGATTATTAAGTAAACAAATAAACGGCGAGTGATAGATACATAGCATTTGAATCTCCAGTTCACCCGCACGACGTACGTACGAACAGCCAACTTATTGCAGGCAACCTCCAGCCAACAGGTTTACTGGCAGAGTTGGAGTGTTCAAGGAGAAACAATTATTCCCAATTCGGAATTCCGTTGTACAACTTCTAATATGCATCAATATACTAATTGATTAATTTAAATAAACTCACGAGAGTGAACAGGTCAACGGGTTATGGGGAGGGGTGATTGAATTGTTTCCTGTATGGGGAAGAATTGTTTTCTGTTGAACTTTCATTGATGTTATTACTCCCAGCTCTCCACAACTTGGATAGCAGCTACATATTTATTGAAACTAGGAAAAACTTTGGTCTTGAATTTTGCGTTTAGATATATGTATTTCCGTATTTGAAGGCATTCCAAAGGCTTGCGACGCAGGATCCTGTCGTACAGGTAAGCAAGACACGCCTGAGCAACGACTTGCACCTGTTGAGCGGAATAACAACGTGCCTTTTGATCATTACAACAGCATTAATTAGAAATTTACCATTACAATGCAGAGTAAAAGTTAGTTTAAAATTTAATGGAGTCAGCAATAGGACATTTATGCGAAATAATACCTGTATGAGTGAGGAAGAGGACTAGGACTGCAGCGATCATTCTGGCGGTGGGAGAACAACAAAGTGTACACTACACACTCTCGACACCAGAAGATGACTGGAGCTGATCCATGCACGCAACTTGTCAACCAATCGTAGCCCCTCCTACCACACCTCGACAGATGACGTCACACAAATTTAGCCAATGGGTAAGTACTTATAACAAACTGGAACCAATCACAGATGAATGTTTTTGTCAGGACATAATTCTGTTGAGGAAATCCTCAATTATAATTGTGAATCATCATCAGAGAATAGTTTCTATCAACGCTCACCATTGGAAAGGCCTCAAATAAATCGATCAATCTTTTCATTGATCAATCATTTTTTCAACCGTTTGTTCTGATTGAGAAATAAAATTGATTTTCTCCAGGTCCCTGGCGCGTGTATTAATTCCTTGACAATATCTTTATCTGGGTACTCACTACTGGACACTGTACGCAGTATCACTAAATAAATTTTACAAGAAAATATATAGTTTTTATCGTAGCCCGAAGGATTGAGTGAGACTGCAACTCCAGTCAATGCATATTCCAGCAATTCATAAATATCTCATAAACATCACGCCTTTGCATATAATTTTAAATGCTGCACATCATTTTATTCCTACAATTACAAGGTTAATTAATATGTATTTAGTTCACAGCACAATACGCTAGAAGATATACGTATTGGTTAAGATCTTATTAGTTTTCTTGACACAAGCGATCATTGTTTTTTTATAATTTAAGCTTATTGAATGCGATTTTTATTACTTAAAAGTTAGAACTAGAATAAACAGCTAGGGCTTCGACTCATTAACCGATAGTAACTACAAAGATTTATGAGTTAGCATCCATTAGATTTAAGTTTTTGTGAGTATTATAACTACTACTGTCAACGTACACAAATAGCTTCGGTACGTCAACATAGTCATATACAATGCACTCTGGAATCTGGGGTTAGATGTATAGATGTAGGTCGATAGAACTTTCCATATAAAATAGTTTTCAACGATACTGATTTTTGTCTCGAACTCCTCGGGCTATTGTGAGCCCACATTGTACATTCCATAAAAACATTCGGGGCTTGGTCATACAGATTCCATAACCCAATTTGAAAGTATAGGTATAGAGCAATCACATTTCTTTGGCAAGCCACTTAATCTTTCGCAGTGTTCATATTTTTCATTTAGGTAATCATAGGAAATTAAATTTAATTTGTGTTGTGTAGGCAGACGCCTTGTTAGAACACATGAAAGAAACTTCGTTCATCGTTAAAATCTTATTTAGCTGTTGATTTAGTGCTGTAGCAGGCCTAAAAGTTACTGAAACATGACGATGTGAAAGAGAACTGATACATATGTATATATGAAATATAGGAACTTTGAATATTGCAAAATACATTAAAAAGATTGATAGCTCATATTTAGTGAGACCAATGGCAATAGTTTTAGGATATCATGTGACCTGTTCAGCAAATGAAACGATTTCAAAGAATATGTCATATACACACTAGTACATTTGACCAAACTAATTAAGAAACACTAACTTTGATTTGCATTATGATTAATTTTTTAGTAAATATAAAAATAGTATTTTGAATCCAAGATCGCGGATCAAACCTAGCCTAACACAACTCGCCAACAGAAACTGGCTTACCTGGATCTAATCATCTATGGGTCCAGTTTCTTGACAGTTGTCACTATGATTGGTCATTCGGATTTCGGGGTACACATGAAGGAAAACTATCAGCACCACCGAAAAGTCTTTTGTGGTGGCTCACGGCTAGGAGATGGCTCATCTACAGTCTGTGAAGTATTTATACCAGACGAAGCTCGGGCTATTGCCTGGCGCCGCCGACGCCGAGAGCACCTGCGTGACCTGCCAGCCCTGCACTCAGCACCTTTGCACCTACCCCTAGCCCTGGCCCCTGGGTTGGCGTAAAAAGCCATGCTGGATTCCCAGAATCCAGAGTGTGCTCATCCATTACTAACAGTACTCTGAACTCTGAAGTCCTCTCTCATTCGTCATTGTAGTTTTGTAGATGATGTAGGCCAATAAGGCCATGTAGCCTACCTAGAGGCTAGATGTAGAATAAATGACATTTTCTGTGTGATATTACTGTATCCATAAACATGCCAATGCCATTGATGATTGAGCATTTAGGCCTACAACGACCTTGTCTACTGCAAGGCGCAAGCGTCATATCAGCAGTCGTATAGCATTTCCATTTATTCTGTATCTGTAAGCTTAAATAGGGTAAACGCGGTATATTCCAACATCATTGGTAATTCTGTCACCTCTCTTTGTTTTTCCTTTATATTAAGCTTTGTTTTAGTTTCATGCTTTAGACACATGAAAACTAATTCTGTCACAACTTGAATTGGACACACACAGATCATTCCAAGCTGTGTACAAAAATTAAAATTTGCTTAATTAAAACCTTAATAGTTGTTAATGAAAAACGTAATTAAGTAGTATTCAATATTCATTAGTGTTCTAATTCAAAGCCGTGTTGTATTCCAATACAGCTCACACAGCAAACGCCGTGACAAACCAGAGATTTTTTAGAATCAGTTCATTTTTAATTTCCTCATTTACTCAAGATTTTAACCAATTTCTTAAGTATGATGATGCTGGTATCCATGCTACTTTACTGGTCTACTTATAGGACTCAAAAATGAACTTGAGACAGAGTCTAAAAAACTCTCTGCCTTGCCACTATGGCGAACGGAATTTGAACACGTGGATGACAGGCGACAGCATTACGTATCAGTAGAATTTGAAGCGTGGACAAAATACGCCTTACCACATGCCAAATATAGCCACACACACTGACGGAATATAGGGATTTGGTAGGTTTGCATTCTAAAGGCTTTTAAATAAATGGCAACATTTTGTGATGTTACGTCATTGCTGACGCGTAGTGCGGTGTTTTAAAGTCACATAAAGCAAACAGAACTTGAGTAACGCATACGGTTATTTTTTTATAGTTTTTCATTTCTTGATGCGTCCTTAATGTGATGGAATATACCACGTTTACCCTACCACTTGTAATTTCACACTATTTTAATTGGGTTGAGTGAATTCTCTATAAAAAAGATCATAAAAAAAACACTTGAAACAGAAAGGAATGTTTTAGAAACAACCATTATATGTTTTGGAGAAATAAATCATAGTTTAGATTAATTACCTACTTTTCAATCTATGATGTCCACTTGTCTAGTGCACACTGCACAATTCTATCTATGACATTCTGTGCACAATTTTGTGATGACCAATGAGGCAATGACGCATTAATTTTTTGTAAGCGAAATTTTTTTCACTGAGTGAGGACTGTGAGGTAAATGTAGGTAGTAGGCAGTAGCCTAATCAAAATTCATAGTTGTTAATCAAAATTTTTTGTTAACTGGAGCCTTTGCAGGCTTTGCTATTGCTAACAGCTATTTGAGCCTTACTGAAATTAAACTGTAAATGCATTTTTAGGGGTGTCCCTTATTAATTATTACCCTGGGCCTGGGGGCCCGGGGGTGTCCCTTATTACCCCATCATGTGGAAATGGCTGCAATTTTTTTTAATTAGACAAATTCTGTCAATCGTGTTTCCAAGCCAACTCCTGTGTGCAACTTTTATGTAAGTAAAATTTTTTAATATGCAAATACTTTTTTTTGCTTCAGAGTCCAGACCTTAGTTAGTAGCGGTTCTTTTCCAAAATCACACTTTTCACCCTTTTTTCAGCGACTTTTTAGGGATAGTACCTAAATGTACAATTTCTTAACTTGCTTTATAGATACCGTAAAATGGGGTAACTTTGACCACTTTTTTTTCAAAATGATGCCATTTTTTTACTAGATAAGTTAAACTTAAGTTGAAACATGCAAAATACAGGTCTATACTCTAGCTTTACTCACCATAAATTGCTGGCTCCTGCCTCTTAATGAAAGAGGAGGACTTCAGAGTACTGTTAGTAATGGATGAGTACCCTCTGCATGCTTCAAATATTTTAAAATGAAGTTTTATTCCCAGTGTCCTGTTCGACGGGGCTACTCGGGACACTCTTTTTTTGCTTCTGGCACCTTACGAATAGCATATGGAATTTTTTTGAAGATGCCATTCGATAGCCCTCGCAAAGAGCTATAAAATGAGCCTAAACTTGTTTATGAAGTGTTTAATCGTAAGAAGTTATTAAAAAATGCTCAAAACCGTCCCGAGTAGCCCCGGTTGACGGTACTTTTCCAAAATCGCACTTTTCACCCTTTTTTTCAGCGACTTTTTAGAGATAGTAAATGTACAATTTCTTAACTAGCTTTATACATAATAGATAATAAAATGTTGAAGTTTACGCCACTGTTTTTAGTTTTGCAATATTTTGATTAGTTTAGCTGCTACAACATTCTACAAAATGTGGGATACGTGTCTCAATTCACCCTGCCCGTCCCTTATTACCTTGTTTGATGGTATATCCCTTACTCTCCACGTACTGCACCACTTAAACTCATTGCAACTGATTTCTGGACAAGCTTCACTGCATCCTGATCCATCCAATGTACCAGAAACCTTACTTGTGTGTGCTTGCAGTCTTTCAGATTTGCAATTATTGCAATAATTTAGAAGTAATTTCTATAATGCAATAATTTCAATCCAAATGTTTTGGCAAGATCTTCTGAAGGCGTAAATTTCACTGCTGATGTGTTGCCAAAGATTTTTTTATTTTCACCCACTTTCTGCACCCTGGCAAATGCATATAAGGTGGGCCCAAGTGCAAGCCTAGAAGTGGGAGTACTGGAGTAGAAACACCGAAAACTTCTTGGCTCCCTCAATGCCAGCATCTAGAACACTGACTGCAGCAGGGGCAGGGCTAACACTCAGCTGCATTAATTTAGCTTCTCATTTGGCTCTGTTACAATTATACTTCTAGATGCAATGAACTCAGTATATTGACAAAAGAGATTGGACAACTTGCTTAGCTAAAAGTCTTTGGATAGACATCTTTTTTAATTCCAAACTATGTTTATATAGCACAATTCATTGGGAATCATTTGCTCTTCAAAATGAGTTATAATGTAGAGATAATAAGAGATTTATCTTGAACCATTGTATTACTTTTTGAAAAACCTTGAATTTATAGGC